GCCAGCGGTAACCGGGCGCTGCGGTGGGGAGGCCCTTCGGGTTTCACGAAGGGTAGCCGCACGGCCGTCCCTCATTCCCCGGTTGTAGAAGGCACTAGCGATCGGGTCCCTAAGGATCTGGTGCAACGGTGCGCTCCGGGCCGCCTCGACGATCGTCGGGACGTGAGCCAGCGGGACGTCGAGCGCCTCCGCCAACCGGCGAAGGAGATAGCGCACATTTCTGACAGGACATGCTGAAAATAAAACAGTCCATTAGCACTAATATACATTGACGACAGCCCGTGCTCGGGCCGTAATGTGTAATTAATGAAACTATTTTAATTTTAAACATGATACGTGAAGTTTGCGTGGGGGATTTTGATCTGTCAGGAACACCCCTTTGCCTACTTTTTCCGTTAGTCTGACAGGGCCCCACCACATCGGTGCGAAGCCGACACAAATTTTTTTTTGTTTATTAGATAAGTGGTGGCCTTATAATACACCACGTCTCCGACCGTAAAAGGTTTTACTACGTGTTTCGATGGAACGTTATCGAACGTTATCTATTTCTTTTAAAACAAAAACTAATGATATCAAAACCAGTTAACTTACTAATTAAGTATTAATAAAATTATATCCTTTTCTATTAACATAAACATGTTCCGGGTATAGATCATTTTCCACCGGAGGTGCAATAATAGCAACATGAGTACTATCAATAGCACCGATTATGCCATTGATATATAATTAAATTCGTCACGAGATAACTACAAATTCAAACATATACATAAAATAAAAGAAACAATAATATAAAATAGATTTTTACTATGAATTTATAATTTATTATTATAAATTTAAAATACTTTCACTCCTTCAGAATAAATTTTAACAAACTTATAAGTCAAATATCACTGTTTCATTTTTAAGAACTATAAAGTAGTGTATAATTTAGAACATGTTGGATATTTTGTCTGCAATAAGTACAATAAATATTTTATGTAGACTGAAATTTTAATTGGAAAAATATAAAATTCTAAGGGCTATATATATAGTTAATTATTATGAGTAATCTGTGCTTAAGCTATCAGAATAACCTACTTAAGATAGACAAAACAAAACTTTATCATAAGAATCAACTATAAATTTCGCTCTAAGACTAAATAGTTTTGGCAAAATATAATGTATTCAATTTTAAACATAAGAGTCTTTAAAAAGTGTATAAAAACGTTTTATGATCATGACAAAAACAAATAATAAGTATTATTTGTAATAAATCAATAAAAATAAATCATTACTACAAAATTATAATTATTATGCATAATTTTAAATGATAAATCTTAAGTGCATTCAGGCGTGATACATATTTAGGTGGTAGTCATAGAATTTTAGAAATGATTTTTCAAACTCTAATAAGAAATAATTAAGTGCGGGAGTAATGTGTTAAGAATATGATCGAAATAAGAGACACCATTATAAGACTCTTTTGATATCTGTATTAGTATATTTTAAGATCAAAATTAAGTAAATAACATACTATCTTGCTAATGCATTAATTTCATTCAAATTTTTGTAAACTTCACATAAGTGTCAAATATTTCTGGAATACATAAAGCATTTACAACCTCTTCAGTAACACAGCTTATAAGTAGGTTTACTCACAACTGAATTTATGTTACTCCCAATATCATTTTGATAATTATCAGCAGCAAAAAAGCGTAAATACATTAACACCTTTGTGACATTAAAATTAAAAAATTAAATAAATAATATTAACTATACAAATATAATTTAAAAAATACATATATTACGCTAAATACTTAAAGCGCTACTTCTAGATGGGGTAGCCAGGTGAGATGTTAACATCTCAACAAGATATCGGAATAAATCTTTGGTCGAACAATACATTTGAACAAAGCATGTATCGGATAAATCTAAAATTTTTAAACATTTTTGTAAAAATTATTTATTAAACCAGACTTTAATATCAAAGTTACATTTAAAACTTATAAAACACAATAGTATTATTGAAGTGACTACTTCATTAGGCGGACTATAGGTGAATGTTTTACACGGGGAAATAGTTGTCGTCTCGCGTCATGGAACGATTTGTATCTGCTGCGCATGCGTACGTTTGTCATGATAAGTGTTATACATATACGTATACTGTACAGTTTTTTTTATACTTATGTATACATTTTGCTGTCATTATATTCTTCATTTTCTTCCTCGCCTTAATCCCAACTACTTGGGGTCGGTCACCCTTATCCTAAACTTCCACTTGACATGATCTCCCACATCATTCACGCGGGATAACCTAAAACACGGACCGTCCGGTCAGGGGCCGCAGTTATACTGTATAATAACTACCTACGCATAAGCCATTTCCCGTCCGCTGCGGCGTGTTCGCCTCGCTGTCGCATAACAACAATCTTCCATCCCCCTGAAATGCGCTCAAATAACATTAAGCGAAAATTACACGTATTTATACAGGTATAGAATTCAGCGTTTAGTCTCATCTACAAATAAACGCAGTTAATTAATAACACTAATGAACCCATGTTCCTACCTGATATATACTTACACAATTAAAAAAAAAATTTTATACATATTTTTGTTAGTTTTTTTTATTAAAATACCCTATGCTTGTGTGTCCATATGTGTCTTTGTTATGAGCTGTTTTACAAAATACTCACATAAAATATTTTAAACCTGTTGTTTCAATGTCAATTGGAGATACAACAAAGTTATATCTCTAACAACATTACCTTTTAGCTTTGTAAATAAACAAAACTTTTGAGTCCTAACTTTTACCAGCACAAATTATTCGTTAAGTCATTACCAAGAACGTGTCGTATAAAGACCCAACCTATTTTAATGAGAATATTCTTATACCTTTACTTAGAATTATCTAATATAGGATCTTACAATTATGTAACAGTTATAGAAAACATTACGATGTTAAATAAAATGTTTTACTTCCTGCTTTAAAGACAATATACTATATTATACTCCCATATGTTGAAATAAAAATATGTTCTTATATTAAAAAATAAATAAAGTCCACTATTAAAGGATGATCAGTAGGAATAAAAAAATTTAGATTTTTTAATAGTGTAGTAAACATTAAAATATGAACTTTTTTTATTGAAGACAGTTAACCAAACATATTATTCATTAATAATTTAATATATATTGACTTTGAATCGTATATCGTTTTTATTGTTAATAAACACGTTTACTTATTTACAATATTATTAACACCAATACATATTGGTACATTTTTTATTGATAATTGTTTTATTTTAAATTTCTTTTACTTATTATAAAAGGAAAGAAATTGATTGGATATAAATGTGAAGATTTACTTTTGTGCATTAAATATTATTGTCTATATTTGAAACTCAAAGTTATTTTATTTTTATTATTATCTGTATACATGATGATCGGTTTATCATGAACCACTCGATTACTCGTAAAATAAATACAATATTTCAAAAAAAATTTAATTTCTTGATTTATCAGCTAATAATTACTTTTAAAAATTATCCCTTATAACTTAGAAGGGCTTAAACTTTATTTTTTGTTAATGCCAACATACATATTTAACTAGCCTATAAAATTGAAAATAATCTTATTAAAACAAATCTACACGAGCAGAGACAGCGAAGATTTTATACATTATGTAGTAACTCAAAAAGCAAAAATAAAATTTATTAGGTAAATAATTATGGGGTAAGTGAATAGTCGTAGTTGTTTCCTTAACTATTATTCAATAAAACATACGAGACTCTTTGTAATTAAGTTTACTACTAAAGAAAGTAAATTATCTCTGACTGAGGTTTAGTGTGGTTAAAAAAATTACTAATAATAATGGTATAATAATAATTTTTACGTTTACAAACGCATGCAACTTCTACATCATCTAATGTCTCCATTGTAACTTATTTTATATTTTAAAAAATATAATCAGAGCAAATGCTACCACGAGGAATTTAGAATATTGTAATTATACTGTAGCTATTGGCGGGCTAATTTTCTTTATAAAAACGTGTCAAAACGCTTTAAGTATGCACATGAACTGCATTCGCGTTTTTAAAAACGCGTACGTCCGTGATTAAATGTCTAGTGTGAATAACTGAATTAAAATAATATTGTATATTAGATGTGCCGTAATAGTCTTTATGTCTAGACATAATTATAGATAATAAAAACGATTAGTTTATTCCAAAATATGTAAATAAACTAAGAAGTAATATAATACACTAAACGATTGACAGTTGTAAGAAAGCAACAATACATTATCCACCATAATTTTAAATTACATTTCACGATTCCTGAAAATTCTATTGGCACGTGGGTCATTATTTCAAGCAATTCAGCTTTTATGTAACATTTATTATATTAATTTTTAGTGAGTGTTAACATCGTTCACTATAATGAAAATACCACAAGATTTTTGCTTTTATTTACATTTCATAGGGTAAATTTATATAGTGTTAGGTTACAAAGTTAGATTTATGATTATGCATTGCGATTGAATAGAAATGAATATATACATTTTTTATGTGTTTATATTTATTTTACAATCAAAATTAATTTAAGTTAACCTAATTTATAAAATAAAAACGTTGCTAAAAATTCTACAAATTTACAATTTGCTATCTTACTTTTAAATGACAATGCATAATAACTAATATAAAAAATAAAAATTGCGATAACGGAACTATTTTATAGTTATCATACAATATAAAAATATTCATGTATTTAAATAATACTTATTATACCTAGTCTACTAGTTCAACTGTACAGAACGTAAAAATCAGAATCAGGTTTCGATACGCGGAATAAAAAATAAACAATTAGTCAATGACAGTTAGTTTCAATATATATTATCTAGTAATATGTTATTACTAGTATATTATTATTTAATGTGTACTGAAATAATAAAATGAAAGTTATTAGACAGTTTGCCGTGAAAACGGCAGTTTTTTTTAAAGTTGTTAAGTGGATCATTAATGAAATGAAATCATTAATCAATAATTTTTTAAGGAAAACTATTGCCCTTCATAGCCACCTCTTAAATACGGTCCTGAGAATATTCTTAAAGCTTAAATGTTTACATTATAAAATGATATAAGTTATATTATTTTCAAATGTACGTTCTTTTCTTTTAACAATAAAATATTTCTTCAAATTTCCTATCAAAAATATATTGCATTCGTTAAACGTAATTTTTAATAACACCTTTTCTTTAGAAAAGTAAGATACCTATATTTATATACCTATGTTACTTAGGGTACTATACATAATGATGTTATTGTCATATAAGTTTAGACCCCATTGTTTGACTGTGTTTGTTCGATAACCTTTCGACGATAAACGTTTCTCCAGGAAACATATCAGAACCTAACAACAGATAAATAAACAAACACTTAAAATGTACAGATAACTCTAACGTCTAATTTATCGCCTATAAAGATTTTCTGTGGTTTTAAGTATAATAACATGTTTTTGTAGATTTTTTTCATTTACCCAATGATTTGATTTTGAGTGAAAAGTAAGTGAATTCGAAAATAGATTTTTGTTGTAATTCATTTAAAAATCGTGGAACTTTGAAGCAAATATTGTTAATAGTATAAAAAATTTGCCTATGACTTCAATGAATAACGTCGATTTCAATTTTTCCAATGAAAAAATAACGAGTAAGACAAACAAAAAAATACGTGATGCTAATCTCTGTAAACTAGACAGTGAAAACAAACCTTTTACTATTCCGCCGGATCTCAAATTTATTGACAAAAACACATACAAGCGATTGAAAAATAAAGCGAAGGTGATAACAGGTGAAGATCGACAAATGGCTGTTGAGCAATTGATATCGGAGAGAGAAAAATTAGAAACTGAGAGTGCTGCAAGAAAAAAACGGCTACAAAATTACGATAACTTACGAACTAAAGGAAAAAAATTAGCTGAAGTATCTATTTAAAATATTCTAAATTTAAAATGTTTACAAAACTTTATTTGATTAATATAGAAGTAACTAAATTTAAAAAAAATAAATATTTCCCAATGATTATGATTTAAGGAATGATAGTCGATCCATAGTAATTTACACAAAAGAAAAAATTGTATTATTTTGGTTATTTATATATTTTAAATTGTTAAATTAAATGGGCATATACGAATTGACACTCAAATATGTATATATTTCCAACGTCACTGAATTTTTGTGACAATATTTATTTTTACTTATTAAAATATTGAAATAATTAAGCAAAATTGTTACTATTATTCTGATAAATTATTATATGGCTAACCCAACAAACAGTTAGTGAATATTGAATATTTCTCTTTACAAGCGGAAACTTAAGTACATAAATCTTCCGTTGTTATTTTAATATTAATAGTTTATATTAAAATAAAATCGTAATAGAAGAGTTAAAATATCTCTTAACTTTAACCCTTAGACGAATCATAATTATGTCAAAATATATTAATATTCTTATAATTAAAGTATTTACTTATGAAAAGTAATTACAACTGTTGATTAATTATTTGGGTGTACATTTATTGTATTAATATAATAGCTAGATGATGAAGCAAACAAGAAAGCAAATTACTTGTTAGCCAGGGCACAACAATTAAGACAAGATCAAGAGGATGAGATTAAATGTTGTAACTCCTTAATACTAAGTACTAAGTGTCACGCTATTAGAAATGCTCAAATAGCAGAAAAGCAACTTATACAGTAATTATTATCTTTATACATAATTTTATAAGAAGATAATTTGTATTGAACTGTTATATTTAATGAATCAAAATTCTTCGCAAAAATTATTTTACTTAAACCTTATGTCTCTTTAATCAAAAATTAATTATCATCTTAAAATTTATTTTTACTTGTTCTTGATGATTCATCAATTAATTGATGATGAAGATAACAAAAAATAAAAAGTGTTCGGATATAGGGCGTCTTGTTTTGAATAATAATTAAAACGCTAACCCAAGTATTATTGAGGGAATTTGGAGCTATTCATTACCATTTTAAATGGTTAATTTTTTGTTATACTTATATTGATGTAGTTTTTATGATTATTTCATAGAAAGGAAATGATGGAAGAAGAACGCAGGATGACAGAAATGATGGAACAAGAACGAATATTGGCTTCTAAAAAACTTGAAAAGGCAGCAGAAGCCGAACAACTCAAGAAAAAACTGCAAGCAATGGAGATTATGAAACAAATAAAGGAGAATGAGATAGCTAAGGAAATGGAAAATGCAAGACTTGCTGAAGTAGATATTTTTACATAAAAATTATTTAAAAGCTAAATTGATTTAAATGATGATTATGTAAACTTAACATAAATTATGAGTCAGATATTGGAGTAATACCGACTAATGATGCTAAAGAAGTATAAGTGGATTATACTTCTAAGCCTTTAGTCCATTGTACTTTTAAAATTAATCTTTATATTTTTGTATACATTTTTGTGATTTCCTAAAGAAGTTAATAGTTTTACTATAGGAAGCAAGAATTAGAGCAGATGCAGTAATAGAGGCTCAACGAGAAGAAGTAAATGATTATAAGTTAAAATTAGAACAACAGGCAGCGTTGCGAAAAGAGTTTTTGCAGATGAATGCACAACTTAGAGATATAAAGAAAATAGAGCAAGAAATGAACACTATAGAAATACTTCAAGTATTATAAACCGAGATATGTAAGGTTACTTAATAAATTTACTCATATATTTTAGATTCAAGAATATACACGGCAAAAAAATGAAAGAGAAGCAGCGTTCGAAGAAGAAACTAAAAAACAAAAGTTGTTAAAAGATAAGACCATTGCAAAGATACAAGCGAGTCATAAAGCATCCCATGATTTACAAGCAGCTAAAGATGAACTAAATGCTTTGCGAGTTAGAGATGCAGTATGTACTAAGTAAAGGAATATTTAGTAAAGGAATAATAGGTTTTTTAAACTTGTAGACACAGAAATGGAACAAATCTCACATTTACAGGAAATTTATATTTTAGGTTGGGATACTAATATTTTTTCATGTACAGAGTGTTAGTTTAATGTAAGTCAGGAGTAGAAAGGTGGTGTTCAGCAGGACCTAAAAATAGGAAAATAAAAAACTAAAATTTTCTATCTCCAAAATTAGGGGTTTTCTGGTTGTCCCACTCCAAATTTTATTTGAGCTAAAAATAAATATTGTCACTGTATTTCCTACAAAATTCCCATAAAAACTGAGTGGTGACTCGATTTTTTGTAAATTTCGCGTCCTCGCTTGAACTTTAGAATCAAAATTGGAAAACAATTTCATTTTAGTGTGACCCATAAATTTGTATTAAATTTTCACAGAGAGCCTCTTAATGTGGTGTATTTTTAAATAAAACGATTTCAGAACGAGTAAAACCGGAAAACCCACGGATAATGTGATAGTATTTTTAATTTTAAGAGCTTATTTCCTTTTTCATTATTTATTCAAACCGATATTAATATTTATCATTAAAAATTGAAATACTGAAATTGTAATTTTTTTCTTTTTAAGTGATTAAAACAATCACAAGATTAAAAAGAATATTTTTACATTATTACAATAGGATAATAAAAATAATTGATTTGTTGTAATCGCCACACAACTCTTTCTCGATTTTAAATACGAATGAGGATACATTATATTACTGAGCTTGTTAATATTTATAAGTGTTCGAAAATTATTGATCACTTTTAAATAGTCACTAATTAAATTGTAAAAATTTAGATAACTTTTAAATTATAGCTTACTTTCTTACGCAACAAAAAAATAATTTTCAGTGTAAAATATTTTTATTGTGCGTCACTTGCTTAAAAATGCAATTTAAATTTACAATTTTTCAATTACACAACCACCACTGTTAAAGCATTTATTCTAAGTTTTTTGTTATAAAAATTTAAGTGAACTAATCTTATGAATATCTTTTTTTTAAATTTAATATTATTATGAATTAATTCCACTACAATTTAAAAACTACAATATTATAATAGACAATGCATTAAGGAAATATACTTGACGTTTATTGTGAAATTAAATAAGTATCACATTATCCGTGGGTTTTCCCGTTATGAAATCGTTTAAACTTAAAATACACCACATTAAAAGGCTCTCAGTGAAATTTTATTACAAATTGATGGGTCACACTAAAATGAAATTGTTTTCCAATTTTGAAGGTCGCAAAATTTACAAAAAATTCACTCAGTTTTTATGAGAATTTTGTAGGAAATACAGTGACAATTTTTATTTTTGGCTCAAATAAAATTTGGAGTGGGAGAACCGGAAACCCCAATTTTGGAGATAGAAAATTTTAGTTATTAAGCCAACACTCTGTATATATTACATGAGGGGTGTTGCGCCCAAACCCTAAGTATATTATATTTAACGCGTATCCACTGTTTACGGTTGAACCGGTGATGCTTCACTGCGCGCTAATATATATATATATATATGTATTTATAGATGTTATTCCGCTATTAGATATTTAATAAGGTGTAACACTAAGTCCAGCGCACGACTTCAATCACAATTATAGTTAATTTAAGTTTACTCCAATTACTGATCTTTAACGGATATATCCTTAAGTTAAAGCGCGCGGTCAAGAACACACAGATAAATTTGCAAACACAATTTGTCGAAATTTCCACTAAGAGGTAGAGCCGGAAATATCTGAACAAACCACAGAAAGAAAACAAACGTTCGCATAGGCGAAATATGTCCGGTTAAGGTAGTCGTCCGAAAAACGCAACAACAAAAGAAAATACACCACTTCAGGTGAACGTCGAAAACGAAACAGGACGCAATATCGGTAATCCATATTCGGCGGCGGCCTTATCTCAGTGTCAATGGCGGGGAGACGACCGATGACAACCGATTGTCATATTAATAGCTGGACGGCTGATATCGAGAGAGACATGGGTGAGCGCCAGCCTAGAGCAAAAGGCGGTGCCGTGTCATATTCCTTGTTTTTTTTATGTAATTAATAATAATACATTATATTATATTAATACCACAGTAAATTTATAAAATTAAAACTAAATAAATAATTGTTTTTATTCAACACTCTAAACACGCTTTAAAATAACGGCTATTAATAGGAGATGGTAATCAGTGGTATAAATAATTACATGTTATTATTTATTTTCTGGTTTTTCTAAATGCAATTAGAAAAAACTAGAAAACTCGTATTTTTTGCATGATTTTGGTATACACATAAAAATATGTTTAATGATAACAATTGTTTTTATATTGTCTTAGTCCTAACTTTTGATATAATTTTTTTAAATTAATTTTTTAATTAGATGAAAAGCAATAATTATTAAAAATTTCAAAATAATGATTGCTGAACCATAAGTTATAATTGTTGCAAGTTATGTATGAGTTATCAGTATATTTACAATAATTTTAAACTTTTCAATTTTTTATTAACTTGTCCATAAAAATTGCTTTAACACATAAAAACGAATAACTTTTGGTAACACAAAATTGAGGAGAGCACAAAAAATTTGGAGTGACTTAGTCCCCAACTCCTATTTTCACAAATGTGTAGACAGCAAAAATGATTTGTAATCATACTGTTATAAATTTTACGTAACACTTTTTATTCTAACATATACTAGGTTGAAAGAGAATGGCGTCGTAAGGAACATGAGGAAGCATTAAAAAAAGTAAAAGAAGAAGAGGAACTAAAAGAAGCCAGACGTCAGCAAATTGAAGATCAAAAAAGAAATTATGCATTCGAAATTCAAAGAGAAAAAGAAGAATTTGATAAAATCGCTGAGCTTAATATGATTGATATTGAGAAAAGTAAAGAGCTAGAAAATAAGCACAAGAAGGTGAAATATTTTCATTTTTTTTAATTTAAAATTTTTAATAAATGAAAATTTTAAAGATAATAGAGGAACACCGCAAAAATTTATTAAAACAAATTAATGAAAAGCAACACGAAAAAATAAAAGAAAGAAAAAAGACATTCGAAGAGGGTATTAAAGTAAAAGAAGAAGAGTTAAATAGACAAAAAACCCTAAGAGAAACAATGAAAAATAAAATTGATAATCTCAAGTAATAATTCTTAAAACTTTATAAACATTATTTAACTTAATCTATGTAGACATTTTTTTTTTTTAGGAAACACAATGTTCCAGAAAAATATATTCAAGGAATCGAGAGACGATTGAAATTAAAAGAATAAACTAATAATGCAAATGCATTTATAATTTGAATTTGTTATATTGATATTTAAAATTGAAGCAATATTCGTGATTTTTATGAATATAAAATTTTTTTGATTAAAAATAGTATTAATTCAGTATTCTAAATTCAAATTAAAATAAGAATCAAAACTATTCCTTAACTCTACTTTAAAAAAATGTTCTGTAATTTTTGTGTGCAATATTTTTAAGTGAAATTATTTCATCTCGCTTAATTTCTATTTATTGTATTTTGATCGAAAAAAAGTGTCAGTATTCTAGGAAATTGTTTAGTGAGAAATATATTTCTGTTGGTAGATTATAATAACAGTAAAATGTAATGCAATTACTCTTCCAACATTAATTTATTTTATATTAGTCTCTGGAAGAATATCATTATTATTTACAAAAATAACGAATTAAATAAAGAATTGTTAATCAATTGTGTTATAAATCGGTAAGAAATTCTTAAGGCTATCTATTATTGTTTAGGATTTTTTTCCTCATTATAATTATTAACGTTATTATTTGGTTCATATAAAATTTTTACATTATTATAATTTACGTTTACAAATTTTGTGATATTGTACTTGTGTAAACCTGCCTAGTCAAGTTTTACCATTATTATTAGTAAAGGATCCTAAATATTTGAATCTTAGTTGGACCTGTTCTAGATTTACTTATGATTTCGTCTGTTGATGTATTGTTAAATTCCATTTCAAAAAAAAATATTTTTGGTTATTATTAAATAATTAAAAATTTCATTAAGTTCAGAATAATTTAATACCAATTGTTACACAGAAATCATTATGATTTCTATTTAAATGATTTATTACGATAAAAATGCAAAAAAAATAGTGACATTAACGAAATGTTGAGTTTCTCCCATAAATTTACTGTAAATATTAATTATAAAATTTCCTAACTGCATATTAATCTTAACAAAACTATTTTTAAAATTCTCACATAAATTTTCTAATTTCTCCATATAAATTATTAAATATAATTTTGATTCTATATCATATTGCTATGATAAATATTTATTTATGTATTATACTTATAAGTCAAAGAACTAATTAGGATATAATCAAGGAAATAGGAGTTCATTTTGCTTTTGGAACAGTTCAGAAATCTCTTAAAATTAAATACTTTCAACCAATTTACATCAAAGAGTTTCCTATGATAGTGTTTTTAAACATTGTTACATATCATTTACAGTGGTGAAGCCAGAAGGTGGTTTTGGGTGTTGTAACCCCCCCCCACCATTAGTATTTATTTAATAATTAAATTCCCTGTATGGACGACGACGTCGATAGTTGATCGCGGTAGACAACCGATGGTGACCAATCATAGAATAATATTAATATATTGCGGCTGATAACGATGCATACACGTATGGTGCGTTCTTATTTGAATAAATATAGTTAAAAAAAACTAAAAAAACACGCTTTTAAAGCATATCGAACTAAAAAGTTAAAAATAATTTTTCACTTTTTAGTTTCATGTTATGATAGTAGTTACTATCAATATCATGGTTGTAACGGGAAATTAGGGTTCGATTCCGGGGAGGGAGTCTAAGAAACGGCTACCACATTCAAGGAAAGCAGCAGGCGCATAAATTACCCACTCCCGGAACGGATTGGGATCCGTTGCCAAGGTTGCACTGCGTGGTGGTGAGGACTGGACTTCGCGAAGGTTGGCATTAATAATTCATAAAACATGCATGCAAACACCTACGACGCCGCAGGTAATCCTACCCGGGGCAGTCTCTGCCTCAGGCGTTCAGCCTCCTCTTTTTGGCTCATCACCGATTCCGCGAACGCCTGGACCAGTGATCACCCCTCCTGGCTTCTCAGCATTAGGTCCACCATGGACCCCACGCCGAACGCGGACCCCGAGCGGGATTCTCACTTCTCCCGCTCGCTGGCCCACGCCGCGCATCGGAAGAGCGTATGCAGTGGCATTGTTCGCTTTTCCCGGGCAATCCCGACAGTGATCGCACGTCGGCGCGGCTGCCTGGCGAATACCGTGAAGGTATTCGTTAAAGAAGTTGTGACCGGACATCACCTGATCAGACGATACGACATTTCCCCGTAAATCCCAATCCATCTGTCGAGGCGGCTGGGTCCGATAAGGGACCTCGTCCACGCTCCGGAGCTACAGCCGGTTCTCTGCGCGAAGCGGTTAACCGGTACTCTTCCGGAGCTCGTGTCCGTTGGCGATTTCGACGGCCAACAAGTCTGTGGACTCTCACTGCCACTCACGGTACTGAGAGCGGCCCTTCTCTAGACCCGGTTAAGAGCTTCCACGTTTTTAGGCGAGTACTCTAGTGACCAGGGAGTCGTAAAGGAGGATCGAGTGAACGACGCTGACTAGAAGTCGGCATCGAAATTCTCTCAGTCCCTCGATATTCGGCATGAGCCCCGCCAGGGGGTCCATGACCGGAACGCGGAATACTGGGTTGTACGCGATGTTCCACTGCAATGGCCCAAGAACCGAACCTTGCGGGACTCCACCCGTTAAGGTTTTGGGCACTGCGGCACTCGAGGACCCGGTTGCGGGTGATACGAGTAAGGACGGACCTGGAACTGGTCCGTTCCATCTTCGATCGCAGCGTGCCGTCCTCGTAGAACACGTCGGCAGCCGCGATCTCCACACACTTCCTTCTCTTATTTTCCAGAGCTCTACCTGGAGTTTGCATTTGTGGAATGGGTGCGTCGGAAGGAGTGTCCTCCAAGACGACCACCTCCGGTCCCTTCGCCGTTGAGGATACTTCTTTTCTCTTCCCCCGAAGAGAGTTGTCCTCCCCAACCACTCCGTCATCGGCATATCCACCGGGTGTTGTATCCAATGGTGCCGACCTAGATGTCTCCACCCTGGACGCACTCGGCAGCCTTTCCATTATGGAGGGCTTAGCTGGGGCACCCAAAGGTGTGGCCGCATTTCCATTACCAAGTCTGATCTCCAATATATCCACTGCCAATGGCCTCCCGGCTATTTCACTGGTGGGAGTGGCTTGGTCGCCACCACTCCCTGCAGTCGCAGTACCAACCCAGTGGTTGGCTGCAGGAGCCTGCCTCAACACTCCTGCATTTGATGTATATTCGATTGATCCAATCGACACCTGGTTGGTACACCCCCTACCAATCACCGGCACTGGGGCATCCGATACCCCTGATACAGTAACCGTTATTTTGTATTGTCCATGGTCATTAAAATGATTTTGTGAGGGGGCTGTCCTCGTAGACAATCCCTTCAGCCAGTGAGCGGCTATTATAACTGGTTGCGTAAATCAAAATCGTTCCGTTCACGCCCAAACGTAAACTAACATAATGCAATGGGAGGGGGAACGACGAAACCCAACGTCAACTAAGTTATGACGGGTGAGGAACCTCTCCTCCTATACCAAATCTTATGATAGGTGGGGGTGGTGAAACACGACGTAAACTAACACAACCTGTCGCGCGTCAAAATTATGTGAGAAAAAAAAATGCATTTTCCAGGTAAGCTATACGGTTACGGTGAAAAGTACGAATTTTGAACGTTTATAATTTTAAACGTCGAATCCGCTATTTTGATATGCAACATGTACATATTTAGATAAAGTTTGTACGGAAAATGTTAATTTTACCTAATTCGTAAAAAAAATTAGTACGAAACATTGTGTGCCAGATGGCTGTATTGATGATTATATATTTTTTTATACTATAGCTTTTGAGATTAATACAGAGATGGCTTAACGCGGCGGCGACGGCGACGGCGATGTCGCCGTCTATTACATTAATTGTTAATATACGAGTTAATAAGCTTGACCGTTATTCGTATTGTGAATAATAAATCAATACTTTTTTTGTCGACAATATATAATAATGACTACTGTTGTTCAAGTTTTCTTATAGCAAAACACATTTTAAATAAACGCTACTTCCGCCGCCGCTGACGACGACGATAATCACTGGAACATATATATTATAATATTTATAATATTATAATTGTAATACACTTATCGATTAATGTCGTATATATTTTGTCTAATTATTACTCGTATTTCTCTTAATATTATAAATTATTACTGTATTTAACTAATATAACTATAATTATAATAATTAAAACATATTTTTAACGTAAATTAGACATGTAAATATATTTAATTATACACTTCTAGAACAGTTAGGTAAAAAACTGAATTTTTCGTTTGTGATTTATAGTAGTATATGCATGGGTATGAAAGACGTAGGCGGACAGTGTTTATTACAGTCATTTATCTAGTAATAATTAATTGTCTAACAGATGTTTGGAAAGGATGGTGTCATGCAGCAACAACATTGTCTGCTGACTACTAATCAGTTCTCAGTATTTGTTAATCTATTGTGCGCGTAAGATGGATTATTTCAATGATATATCGGATAATGTAATAAACAAAAATTAAAAAAAATAAAAGGGTGAAGGGTATAAAGGGGGTAAAGATGAAGTGGTATCTCGGGGTAGAACTATATATTATATATATATATGTACTTCAAGATTATGTACTTCTCCTAAGTTGAGTAGGTTGCCTGTTTATTTTTATTGGAGGAAGTGATATTTTGATTATTATTTTTTCGTTAAAATGTAGTATACATAAAAAGAAAACTGATTGACATCATAGTTATAATGCAATATGTTACATGATATTGCTTTTTCATGTTCCTTTCTGATACCTGCTATTAATTTTTGATTCGGAATTGGTGGCTGACCACTAGAGATTCTGTCCGCTATTGCAAGGATCCATGGTCCACAATCATATTCATTTTCCTGGTTTGTAGTCTCTCATTTGAAGATAAATCACAAAAGNTATTGTGAATAATAAATCAATACTTTTTTTGTCGACAATATATAATAATGACTACTGTTGTTCAAGTTTTCTTATAGCAAAACACATTTTAAATAAACGCTACTTCCGCCGCCGCTGACGACGACGATAATCACTGGAACATATATATTATAATATTTATAATATTATAATTGTAATACACTTATCGATTAATGTCGTATATATTTTGTCTAATTATTACTCGTATTTCTCTTAA